TGAGAGGCTTGGTGAGAGCCTCCAAACACTCAGCAATAAGACCATGAGCCTCGGTAAGTTCTTCGCCGAAGTCTATATCGGCTGGGAGGGGACCATAGGTGATCAGAAATTCTGAAAGACGCTGCAACAACGTATCTTGAGTGGTGTCGGACATGGTCGCGACCGGAGCTAAGCGATGCGGTGTTCTATTGGTTGGCTGTAGAAGATGCAACCTAAGTATAACGGGGACTATGGGCGTAGGAACTATAAAGCCAAGGAATACAACCGAGGCGAAGACGTGGATGTAGGAGGTTCGTGGACTATGGACTATGGGGCCAAAGGGTATACCTAAGGCGAGGACCGGGACTGTGGACTATGGATTATGGATGGTTGTACCTGATCTAGTATACCGGGTAAACCCTATGACGTAGCGCGAACCAAATAGTATTCGTAACTGTGAAGTACAGAAGAAGAAGAAGAAACTTATATTGCTTTGAAGTACAAGACTTATCGCACGCCGACCCAACCGCCTAAAACACGAATCGAACAAAAGAAAGAAAGAAAAAACAACAAACGCAAACACAAACGAACAAGAACAAGAACAAAGCAAGAGCAAACAAACACAAACAATAACAAGGAAGTTCCAGCACGACACTCAACCAGAAAACCCAACGACAAGGAGAAATAACATATCTCAGCGGACTCGAGCGCTGGATCCATCAAAACAAAAAATAAAAACAAAATTAAAGAGTAAAAGGAAACTGCCCTTCCTAATCCCGTCACTAATCATTTTCTTCCATCCCCTCTTCCAGGTCCGCCTCCGCCTCCGCCGACTCGTACCATTTCGAGAGTTGAGATTGTTTTGCAAATTGTAGGATGAGGTCCGTTCTCAGCTTTGTAAACATCCAGTTTTCCCAGGTCCTCGCTCCGGGGATCTTTTCTATCAGAGGGGTGCGGATTCGAGCCCACGCTGGGCATTCCATAAGTATATGTTTCGCTGAGTTTTCCATACCACACTGGCATGGTTCGGGGTCTGTATGTACTGCGTGTTTGTCGATTCGGGTGGTTTGGCACCGGATTCGAAATACTTTTTTTGCTTCCGTAAGGGTGAGTTTCGCTATCTTAGGAGGGGGGCGGAAGTCCCCCCGGTGGTGGTAGTTCGGTATTGATTGTGTGTTCCATTCTTCCAACAGGTGGTCGCGTAGTAGTTTGTTTTGGTTCCACTTATCTCTCGCATTTCCGGGGGTCTGGTATGGGAGTAGTAGGGAAGCGATTCGGTGTAGGCCTGTTCCTTTGATGTTTGCTTCTTTGTAAGGGAGGAGCTCGATCAGGGATTCATTGTTGGGGTGGGTTGCCTCGGAGCTGAGTATTCTGGTTCCGTACTTTCTTGAGCGATATGTCAGGAGGTGTTCTAAGGGGGGTAGGCCTGCTTCTCGGAGGAGTTTAGCTCTTTTGGTCCATCGTGGTAGGCCGGTGATGATCCGGGCCGCTTCATTATATAGTGGTTCGAGGGATCTTATAATGTGGTCTGCGCCAGTCCACCAAGCCTCGGATCCGTAGAGTAGGCTTGGGAGGAAGCCTTGTGTTATGATGTGATGGATCGTTTTAACCGTTATGCCTGGTAGGCGGGTGGTGTATCGAATCTGGTGGAGGGCTTTAAGGCCTTTTGCGATCGCTGCTTCGATGTGGGGCCGGAAGGAGAGGGTCGGATCTATCCAGACTCCTACATATTTCAGTCTTTCCTTGGGGTGTATATTGATATTGTTAACTTTGACCGGAAGTCGTGGTTGTTGTATGGATGATGTGGTGGGCCGGAAGAAGATCAGGTCGGATTTATCCGGGTCGTACTTAATTTGGAGTGGCTCAACTTTTATTAGTCTCTCTCTCATTCGTTCCTCCATTCTCTTAATTGTGAAGCCTGGTGTTTTGGATATTTGTACCAGCGCGTCGTAATCGATGTAAGTAGTGTCCATCTCTTTCGGGCTGCTTGTTGGGTCCAGGATTACTCCAGCGTAGATCATAAATAGCACCGGGGACATGGGGCTACCTTGCGGCACTCCAGAATCATAGGGCTGTGGCTCTTCTAGCTCATGGTTGAATTGAAACTGTAGTTTTCTGCCGGTGTTGAATTCCTTGCACCATTCTGTTAAGTAGGTAGGGAATTTTTGTTGTTGCATGATTTCCGCGAGGAGTAGGTGGTCAACGCAGTTAAATGCTCCTTGGATATCATTGGTTAGGATCGCTGGTCTGTCTCGCCGAGCGACTCCGGTACTGTTTTTCAGTAGTAGGTTTTGTTGTATTGGCGTTAAGGTTCTCATCAGGGCGTCGATTGCCGAGATGGTTGGTCTTCCTCCAAATTGATTCGCTGAGAGTGTGCCTAGAATTTCTCCAGCGGTGCAGAGTCTTTGGGCCACTATCTTCTCCAGGATTTTGCTGAAACATTGTAGAAGGGAAATGGGCCGGTAGGCTTTTGCTTCATGATAGTTTGCTTTACCCGGTTTCGGGATTGGGATACACTTAGCTATTTTCCATTCCGCTGGGTGTGCGCCGTGCCAGAGCATGGCGGAGAACATGTCTTGGATTAGAGTTGTGTTTGCTTTGACTATTGCTTTAATAAAGGTATAAGGAATACCATCCGGGCCGGTCGCCGAGTGCGCTGGACAGGAGTCGATTGCTTTATTCAGTTCTTCGGGGGTGACTATGTCGAAGGTATTGCTAAGGTCCAAAGAAGGGGGTCTAATGTTTAGGGGGGGGTGGTCGGGGAACGTCCATTTCGAGGGGAAGAGTTGGGCTCTTAGAGCTTGACACTTCCCCGCAAACGTTTCTTCACCTTGTATGGTTGGTATGATTGTGTCTCGTCTCCTTCCCGCGCTTAGGATTCTCCAGACTTCACTACCTTTCGCCTCGTTCATCGTTTTTTCCCGCTGGTCCGCTTTTGCTTTCCGGATCATGACTGTCCATTCTCTGCAAGCCTTCCGGTGTTCCTCCACGTGATTGGGTTTCCTTGTGTTCCTCGCCTTCCTTTCTGCTGCATTTACCTCTGCCTTCATTTGTTTCATTTCATCTGACCACCAGGAGTTGGCTCTTACCCCCTCCTTCGAGAGCGGTGTTACTATGCTGACTGTTGACCTGACCAGTTCTAGAAAGAAATCAACAGTCTGTTCCGTAAGTTCCTTGGTTTCCCATGCCTCTGCAGGGATGGAAATGTTTGACATGTGGTTTTCCAATAGCTTCCAGTCTGTTTGTCGCCACATTCGTCTTGGTACAAAAGGTGGTTTCTCCAAGTGTAAGTGAACGGAGGTTCTCCCATTGTCTGAGCCCGCTCCGTAGGGTTCAGTGCTCCATCGTAGGTTGTGATCGAGTATTGGGCCTTTTACAAATGTAAGGTCGATGGTTGTGGGCCTTTTCCCTCTGTCTCTGGGGAAATGCGTAAAGACGCCTGGTTCGTTCAGGAGGGACAGTTTCTGTCGGGTTATCCATCGTTTTAGCCGTGCACCATTGACGCGGTCTGCTCGAATATTGTTTCTGTATTCATGTGAATTTACTCCGTACCACATTTGATGGTGGCAGTTGAAGTCTCCCATTACTAGACAATTATCAAGTGTTTGAATTGTACTTGCTATCTGAGCGAAGGGGCCACTTCGGCCTGGGGAGTATATGTTTAGGATTTGGGTTTTCTTGTTCTGGATTTCTACCGTAATCGATACTATGAAATTATCGTGTGTGTAGTCGTGTTTTGGTTTGAGGTTGGCATGTTTGCGGACGTATGTTACGCATTTTGTATTGGTATTGCTGGCTGTAAAAATATAAAAGAGGTTTGATTCTGGTGGGTATCCCTCTGCTGAGGTCTATGGTTCTTGTAATAATAGGAAATAAATACTAGAGTCTGTTTCCGCTTCTTCTACCGCCGCCTTGGTAATGAGTTCGCTCCGTGCACAATTGAGTTGGTGTGCGAGCGCGGTGGTTCGAGGCCTAAGCATTATTTGTCATAGGTTGGTCATCTTCGGGAACGGGTGTAGCTCCGACTGGGGCGGTGGCTGGTACTTGGATTATTGAAATTGGCTCCTGGGCGGGTGCGGCCGGTGGGTCTTGAGCGGGTGGGGCGTTTTCCTTTCCTTTGTTGAGGAATCGGCGTTTGACTCTCTCGGGGCATGCTGGGTCGGAGGCCTTATGGATTCCTTTACAGTTCAGACATCTGATTGGGGTGTGGGTGCATCTGTATCCTCCCTGGCATTGATTGCATGGGTGGAAGCTGGTGAGGTGATCTCCGGCACAATGACCGCATCTCCCATTGTTTTTGCATTTCTCCTGGCGATGACCGTATTCGAGGCACTTCGCGCACTGGGTGTCTGGGAAGGTTGGGAGGAAGGCCTCAATGTGGCAGCTTCGGTTAAAGAGGGATAGGAACTTAACTCCTAATGTTTCCATTGTAACTTGTCCTGGGAGCGCGATGACCATTGATGAGTGGGTTTTCTCCATTCGTGTCTCTGCTCTGGAGATCCAGCGGGGAATCTGGGCAAGTTGGAAGTTCTCTCCATAGTTGCTTCTAATTTCGGATGCTACCAGTTGTCCTGCCTCGGCGCCTTCTCCGATCGTTGTGGGGATTCCGTGAATGAGGAACTTTGACCATTTGGAATTTGCCCGGATGATGGCGACTGGTACTTGTAGGGTGAGGAGAGCCTCCTCAATTTCTTTGGCGTATTGCATTGCCTTCGTTGCTGGGGTGACAAACTTAGTTTCCAGGATAAAATTATCCTTGGGTGTTCTCCTTGCTGAGATGAAGTGGCAGGATTCGTCCTGAATTCTTGCATTGACTAGGGTCCTGATCTCGGAGGGGTTGACGTCGGATGGAGCAGTAGTTTCAACAATGATTTCTCTATTGATTTTGGTATATTCTGGCTTGAAGAGGGGGTCCGCTTTTGGCTTTGCGGACTTCTTTCTTCTCTCAACAACCTGGAAACTTCCTTGAGCAGGACCGGGTGCCGAGGCCACGGCGGCTCAGGTGCCTGCTTTCCATCCACGGGGTGGGGCTTGTTGGGGGGGTGTGGGTGGGGGGGCCTGAGGGGCTGCCTGAGGCGCTGCTTGGGGAATTGTTTGAGGGACCGCTGGAGGGGGCATTCTCTGTTCCTGCGGTTGTTGTTTTCGCTGTTGTTGCTGTTGTTGCTGTTGTTGGTTTTGTTGTGGTTGTTGCGGTTGCTGCGGTTGTGGTTGTTTGTTGAGGAGAAGATGGATCGCCGAGTGCATACTGGTGATCATAGTTGTCTGCGCCTCGATTTGGTGCCTCAGTGTATCCACTGTTCTCCGGAGTGTGGTCGTTTGCTCTTCGAGGATTTCAATCCTGTCGGTGGGTGGGCAGATTCGGCTGGTGGCATGTCTGATGGCCCAGGTAATATAGTTCAGGTCCGTCTGGGTGTGACTATCCTGGGGGACAATGCTCGGGTAGAGATAGTCGATTCTCGGTTGATAGGGGTCGTTGTAGTTGGATTCTGTTGCAAAGGTCGAGGAGAATTCCTGTTCTTGAGCTCCGGATGGGGTTGGGTCGGGAACCTGAGTGTTCCTGATCTGCGAGGGGGCTGTCCCTTGCTGGGAAGACTGGGTGAAAAAGGACTGGAGCGAAGCTTGCTGCGACATGATTGAATGTCCAGTTCTCCTGGCGGCGTAGAGTGACGTTTCAGAAAGGTTTCTTTTCCTTCCTTTCGGGAGGTCAAGGCTGGAGAATTCTTCACTAGAAGCCAGTTTTCGTGGTGTTTCTTTCGCTAGGAACAACAAACGCGACCGTACAATCGGGGACGAAATGGCTCAACCTGGTATGGTATACCAGGGTAAACCGAGGGGAATAAAATAAAGTGTTTTTAAAGCGAGGTTAATTATCAGGGAGTTCTTTGCGAGCTAGAGGCGAGCAAGTAGAATACAGAAGAAGAAGAAGAAACTTATATTGCTTTGAAGTACAAGACTTATCGCACGCCGACCCAACCACCTAAAACACAAACCGAACAACAGAACAAAAGGAAAAGAAACAACAAACGCAAACAAACAAACAAGAACAAAAGCGAACACGATCGAACACAAACAAAGGTAAAGAAATTCCAGAACGACACTCAACCAGAAACAACCTATCGACAAGGAGAAATAACATATCTCAGCGAACTCGGGCGCTGGATCCATCAAAACAAATTAAAACCAAAGTTAAAAAGGTAAAAGGAAACCACCCTTCCTAATCCCGTCCCTAATCATTTTCTTCCATCCCCTCTTCTAGGTCCACCTCCGCTTCCGCCGACTCGTACCACTTCGAGAGTTGAGAATTTTTTGCAAATTGTAAGATAAGGTCCGTTTTCAAGTTTGTAAACATCCAGTTCTCCCAGGTCATCGCTCCGGGGATCTTTTCTATCAAAGGGGCGCGAATTCGAGCCCACGCTGGGCATTCCATAAGTGTGTGTTTCGCTGAGTTTTCCATACCACACTGGCATGGTTCGGGGTTTGTATATACCGCGTGTTTATCGATTCGGGTAGTTTGGCACCGGATTCGAAAAACTTTCTTCGCTTCCGTTAGGGTGAGTTTCGCAATCTTGGAAGGGGGGCGGAAATCCCCCCGGTGATGGTAGTCCGGTATTGGTTGTGTATTCCATTCTTCCAACAGGTGGTCGCGTAGTAGTTTGTTTTGATTCCACTTGTCTCTCGCATTTCCGGGGGTTTGATATGGGAGTAGAAGGGAGGCGATTCGGTGTAGACCTGTCCCTTTGATGTTTGCTTCTCTGTATGGAAGGAGCTCGATCAGGGACTCATTGTTGGGGTGGGTTGCCTCGGTGCAGAGTATTCTGGTTCCGTACTTTCTTGAGCGATATGTTAGGAGGTGTTCTAGGGGGGGTAGTCCTGCTTCTCGGAGGAGTTTAGCTCTCTTGGTCCATCGAGGTAGGCCCGTGATGATCCGGGCAGCTTCGTTGTATAGTGGTTCGAGCGATCTAATGATGTGGTCTGCACCAGTCCACCAAGCCTCAGATCCGTAGAGTAGGCTTGGAAGGAAGCCTTGTGTTATTAGGTGATGAACTGTCTTGACTGTTATCCCTGGCAGACGGGCGGTGTTTCGGATTTGGTGGAGGGCTTTTAGGCCTTTTGCGATTGCTGCTTCGATATGGGGCCGGAAGGAGAGGGTCGGATCTATCCAGACTCCTACGTATTTCAGCCTCTCCTTGGGATATATATTGATGTTATTAACTTTGACTGGAAGTCGTGGTTGTTGTGTGGATGATGTAGTGGGCCGGAAGAAGATCAGATCGGATTTATCCGGGTCGTATTTAATTTGGAGTGGCTCAGCTTTAATTAGTCTTTCTCTCATTCGTTCCTCCATTCTCTTGATTGTAAAGCCTGGTGTTTTGGATATTTGCACCAGCGAATCGTCATCAATGTAAGTTGTGTCCATCTCCTTTGGGCTGCTAGTTGGGTCCAGAATTACTCCGGCATAGATCATGAATAGTACTGGAGACATGGGGCTACCTTGCGGCACTCCGGAATCATAGGGCTGTGGTTCCTCTAGTTCATGCTTGAATTGGAACTGTAGTTTTCTGCCGGTATTAAATTCCTTGCACCATTCTGTCAGATAGGTGGGGAATTTTTGTTGATGCATGATTTCCGCGAGGAGTAGGTGGTCGACACAATTGAATGCTCCTTGGATGTCGTTGGTTAGGATCGCTGGTCTATCTCGCCGGGCGATTCCGGTGCTGTTTTTCAGTAGTAGGTTTTGTTGTATTGGTGTCAAGGTTCTCAGGAGGGCGTCGATTGCCGAGATGGTTGGTCTTCCTCCGAATTGGTTTGCTGAGAGTGTGCCTAGGATTTCTCCAGCGGTGCAGAGTCTTTGGACCACTATCTTCTCCAGGATTTTGCTAAAGCATTGTAGAAGGGAAATAGGCGGATAGGCTTTTGCTTCATGATAGTTTGCTTTGCCGGGTTTCGGGATCGGGATACACTTAGCTATTTTCCATTCCGCTGGGTGTACTCCGTGCCGGAGCATGGCGGAGAAAATGTCTTGGATTAGAGTTGTATTTACTCTGACTATTGCTTTAATAAAGGTATAAGGGATGCCATCCGGGCCGGTCGCCGAATGCGCTGGACAGGAGTCGATTGCTTTATTAAGTTCTTCGGGGGTGACTATGTCGAAGGTGTTGCTAAGGTCAAAAGAGGGGGGCCTAATGTTCAAGGGGGGATGGTCGGGGGACGTCCGTTTCGAGGGGAAAAGTTGGGCTCTTAGAGCTTGACACTTCCCCGCGAACGTTTCTTCACCTTGTATGGTTGGTATGATTGTGTCTCGTCTCCTTCCCGCGCTTAGGATTCTCCAGACTTCACTACCTTTCGCCTCGTTCATCGTTTTTTTCCCGCTGGTCCGCTTTTGCTTTCCGGATCATGACTGTCCATTCTCTGCAAGCCTTCCGGTGTTCTTCCACGTGATTGGGTTTCCTTGTATTTCTCGCCTTCCTTTCTGCTGCATTTACCCTTGCCTTCATTTGTTTCATCTCATCTGACCACCAGGAGTTGGCTCTTACCCCTTCCTTCGAGAGTGGTGTTACTATGCTGACTGTTGACCTGACCAGTTCTAGGAAGAAATCGACAGTTTGTTCCGTATGTTCCTTGGTTTCCCATGCCTCTGCAGGGATGGAGATGTTTGACATATGGTTTTCCAATAGTTTCCAGTCTGTTTGTCCCCACATTCGTCTTGGTACAAAAGGTGGTTTTTCCAGGTGTAAGTGGACGGAGGTTCTCCCGTGGTCTGAGCCCGCTCCGTAGGGTTCAGTACTCCATCGTAGGTTGTGGTCGAGTATTGGGCCTTTTACAAATGCCAGGTCGATGGTTGTGGGCCTTTTCCCTCTGTCTCTGGGGAAGTGCGTAAAGACGCCTGGTTCGTTCAGGAGGGTCAGTTTCTGTCGGGTTATCCATCGTTTTAGCCGTGCGCCATTGACGCGGTCTGCTCGAATGTTGTTTCTGTATTCATGTGAATTTACTCCGTACCACATCTGATGGTGGCAGTTGAAGTCTCCCATTACTAGACAGTTATCAAGGGTTTGGATTGTACTTGCTATTTGAGCGAAGGGGCCACTTCGGCCTGGGGAGTATATGTTTAGGGTTTGGGTTTTTTTGGTTTGGATTTCTACCGTGATCGATACTATAAAATTATCGTGTGTGTAGTGGTGTTTTGGTTCGAGATTGGCATGTTTGCGGACGTATGTTGCGTATTTCGTGTTGGTATTGCTGGCTGTAAAAAGGTAAAAGAGATTTGATTCTGGTGGATATCCTTCTGTTGAGGTCCATGGTTCTTGTAATAGTAGGAAATAAATGCTCGAGTCTGTTTCTGCTTCTTCCACCGCCGCCTTGGTGATTAGTTCGCTCCGTGCACAATTAAGTTGGTGTGCGAGCGCGGTTGTTCGCAGCCTAGGCATTATTCGTCATGGGTTGGTCGTCTTCGGGAACGGGTGTGGCTCCGACCGGGGCGGTGGCTGGTACTTGGATTATTGAAATTGGCTCCTGGGTGGGTGCGGCAGGTGGGTCTTGGGCGGGTGGGGCGTTTTCCTTTCCTTTGTTAAGGAATCGGCGTTTAACTCTTTCAGGGCATGCTGGGTCGGAGGCCTTATGGATTCCTTTACAGTTCAGACATCTGATTGGGGTGTGGGTGCATCTATATCCTCCCTGGCATTGATTGCATGGGTGGAAACTGGTGAGGTGATCTCCGGCGCAGTGGCCGCATTTTCCATTGTTCTTACATTTCTCCTGGCGGTGGCCGTATTCGAGGCACTTCGCACACTGGGTATCCGGGAAGGTTGGGAGGAAGGCCTCGATATGGCAGCTTCGGTTGAAGAGAGATAGGAATTTAACTCCTAGTGTTTCCATTGTGATTTGCCCTGGGAGCGCGATGACCATTGATGAGTGGGTTTTCTCCATTCGAGTTTCTGCCCTGGATATCCAGCGGGGAACCTGGGCAAGTTGGAAGTTCTCTCCATAGTTGCTTCTGATTTCTGATGCTACTAGTTGTCCCGCCTCAATGCCCTCCCCGACCGTTGTGGGGATTCCATGGAGGAGAAACTTTGACCATTTGGAGTTTGCGCGGATGACAGCGACCGGTACCTGTAGGGTGAGGAGGGCCTCCTCAATTTCTTTGGCATATTCCATTGCCTTTGTTGCAGGGGTAACGAATTTTGTTTCCAGGATGAAGTTGTCCTTGGGTGTTCTTCTTGCCGAAATGAAATGGCAGGACTCGTCTTGGATTCTTGCATTGACGAGGGTTCTGATCTCGGAGGGGTTAACGTCGGATGGGGCAGTAGTTTCCACGATGATCTCCCTGTTGATCTTGGTGTACTCTGGTTTGAAGAGGGGATCCGCTTTTGGCTTTGCGGACTTCTTTTTCCTCTCGATGACCTGGAAGTTACCTTGGGCAGGACCGGGTGCCGAGGCCACGGCGGCCCAGGTGCCTGCCTTCCATCCATGAGGTGGGGCTTGTTGGGGGGGTGTGGGTGGGGGGGCCTGAGGAGCTGCCTGTGGCGCTGCTTGGGGAGCTGTTTGTGGGACCGCTGGAGGGGGCATTCTCTGTCCTTGCGGTTGCTGTGGTTTTCGCTGCTGTTGCTGTTGTTGCTGTTGATGCTGTTGTTGCGGTTGTTGCGGTTGCTGCGGTTGCTGTGGTTGTGGTTGTTTGTTGAGGAGCGCGTGGATCGCCGAATGCATATTGGTGCTCATGTTTGTCTGCGCCTCGATCTGATGTTTCAGTGTATCCACTGTTCTCCGGAGAGTAGTCGTTTGCTCTTCGAGGATTTCAATCCTGTCGGAGGGTGGGCAGATCCGGCTGGTGGCATGTCTAATGGCCCAGGTGATGTAGTTCAGGTCCGTCTGGGTGTGGGTGTCCTGGGGGACAATGCTCGGGTAGAGGTAGTCAACTCTCGGCTGGTAGGGGTCGTTGTAGTCGGATTCTGTTGCAAAGGTCGAGGAGAATTCCTGTTCCTGAGCTCCGGATGGGGTTGGGTCGGGAACCTGAGTGTTCCTGTTCTGCGAGGGGGCTGTCCCTTGTTGGGAAGACTGGGTGAAAAAGGACTGGAGCGAAGCTTGCTGCGACATGACTGAGTGTCCAGTTCTTCTGGCGGCGTAAAGTGATGTTTCGGAGAGGTTTCTTTTCCTTCCCTTTGGGAGGTCAAGGCTGGAGAATTCTTCGCTAGAAGCCAGTTTTCGTAGGTTTTCTTTCGCTTGAAACAACAAAACGCGACCGTACGATCGGGGGTAAAGTGGCTCCGCCTGGTATGGAATACCAGGGTAAACCGAGGGGAATAAATAAAATGTTTTTAAAGCGAGGTTTGTTATCAGGGAGTTCTTTGCGAGCCTTAGCGAGCAAGTAGAATACAGAGGTTGCATGAAGAGAAAAGAGAAAGAAAGAGAAACAAGAAATCACAAGACAACGCCCCCCTTATATATCCATACCCTATCCCAATGCTGGCTCATACCCTCGCATAACAGAAACAGAAAGAACATAATAGAAACCCGCTTCACTAAAACCCAACCACACTACATAATCCTTCTCCCTTGTACCCAGACAACTCACATAGCCAACCCGTCTAGCTGCCGTTACACTGACCCTTCTGAACGAACCAGGCGTCTTTACGCACTTCTCCAGAGACAGAGGAAAAAGGCCTACAATCATCGACCTTACATTTGTAAAAGGCCCAATTCTCGACCACAACCTACGATGGAGCACTGAACCCTATGGAGCGGGCTCAGACCACGGGAGAACCTCCGTTCACTTACACTTGGAAAAACCACCATTTGTACCAAGACGGATGTGGCGGCAAACAGACTGGAAGCTATTGGATAACCACATGTCAAACATTTCCCTCCCTGCAGAGGCATGGGAAACCAAGGAACATACGGAACAAACTGTCGACTTCTTCCTAGAACTGGTCAGGGCAACAATCAGTATAGTAACACCACTCTCGAAGGAAGGAGTAAGAGCCAACTCCTGGTGGTCAGAGGAAATGAAACAAATGAAGGCAAGGGTAAATGCGGCAGAAAGGAAGGCGAGAAACACAAAGAAACTCAACCACATGGAGGAGCACCGGAAGGCATGCAGAGAATAGACAGTCATGATCCGGAAAGCAAAAGTGGACCAGCGGGAAAAGACAATGAACGAGGCGAAAGGTAGTGAGGTCTGGAGAGTCCTAAATGCAGGAAGGAGAAGAGACACAATCATACCAACAATACAAGGTGAAGAAACGTTTGCAGGGAAGTGCCAAGCTCTAAGAGCTCAACTTTTCCCCTCAAAACGGACGTCCCCCGACCATCCCCCCCTAAACATTAGGCCCCCCTCTTTTGACCTTAGCAACACCTTCGACATAGTCACCCCCGAAGAACTCAATAAAGCAATCGACTCCTGTCCAGCACATTCGGCGACCGGCCTAGACGGCATCCCCTATACCTTTATTAAAGCGATAGTCAGAGTAAATACAACTCTAATCCAAGACATTTTCTCCGCCATGCTCCGGCACGGAGTACACCCAGCGGAATGGAAAATAGCTAAGTGTATCCCGATCCCGAAACCCGGCAAAGCAAACTATCATGAAGCAAAAGCCTACCGGCTCATTTCCCTTCTACAATGCTTCAGCAAAATCCTGGAGAAGATAGTGGCTCAAAGACTCTGCACCGCTGGAGAAATCCTAGGCACACTCTCAGCGAATCAATTTGGAGGAAGACCAACCATCTCGGCAATCGACGCCCTCCTGAGAACCTTGACACCAATACAACAAAACTTACTACTGAAAAACAGTACCGGAATCGCTCGGCAAGACAGACCAGCGATCCTAACCAACGATATCCAAGGAGCATTTAACTGCGTCGACCACCTACTCCTCGCGGAAATCATGTACCAACAAAAATTCCCCACCTACTTAATAGAATGGTGCAAGGACTTCAATACCGGCAGAAAACTACAGTTTCAATTTAACCATGAGCTAGAGGAACCACAGCCCTATGATTCTGCAGTGCCGCAAGGTAGCCCCATGTCCCCGGTACTATTCATGATCTATGCTGGAGTAATCCTGGACCCAACAAGCAGCCCGAAAGAGATGGACACCACATATATTGATGACGATGCGCTGGTGCAAATATCCAAAACACCAGGCTTCACAATCAAGAGAATGGAGGAACGAATGAGAGAGAGACTAATAAAAGCTGAGCCACTCCAAATTAAATACGACCCGGATAAATCCGACCTGATCTTCTTCCGGCCTACCACATCATCGACACAACAACCACGACTTCCGGTCAAAATTAACAATATCAATATACACCCCAAGGAGAGGCTGAAATATGTAGGAGTCTGCATAGACCGGACCCTCTCCTTCCGGCCCCACATCGAAGCAGCGATCGCAAAAGGCCTTAAAGCCCTCCACCAGATTCGAAACACCACCCGCCTACCAGGCATAACGGTTAAAACAATCCACCACCTTATAACACAAGGCTTCCTCCCAAGTCCGCTCTACGGATCCGAGGCTTGTTGGACTGGCGCAGACCACATTATAAGATCCCTCGAACCACTATATAACGAAGCGGCCCGGGTCATTACTGGCCTACCACGATGGACCAAGAGAGCTAAATTACTCCGAGAACCAGGCCTACCCCCCCTAGAACATCTCCTGACATATCGCTCAAGAAAATACGGGACCAGAATACTCTGCACCGATGCAACCCACCCCAACAATGAATCCCTGATCGAGCTCCTCCCATACAGAGAAGCAAATATCAAAGGAACAGGCTTACACCGAATCGCCTCCCTACTACTCCCATATCAAACACCCGGAAATGCGAGAGATAAGTGGAATCAAAATAAACTACTACGCGACCACCTGTTGGAAGAATGGAATACACAACCAATACCAAACTACCACCATCGGGGGGATTTCCGCCCCCCTCCCAAGATAGCGAAACTCACCCTAACGGAAGCAAAAAAACTATTTCGAATCCGGTGCCAAACCACCCGAATCGACAAATACGCAGTACATCCAGACCCCGAACCATCCCAGTGTGGTATGGAAAACTCAGCGAAATATACACTTATGGAATGCCCAGCGTGGGCTCGAATCCGTGCCCCTCTGATAGAAAAGATCCCCGGAGCGATGACCTGGGAAAACTGGATGTTTACAAACCTGAGAACGGACCTCATCCTACAATTTGCAAAAAAATCTCAACTCTCGAAATGGTACGAGTCGGCGGAGGCGGAGGCGGACCTGGAAGAGGGGATGGAAGAAAATGATTAGGGATGGGATTAGGAAAGGTAGTTTCTTTTTACCGTTTAATTTTATTGTTATTTTTATTTTATTTTTTGATGGATCCAGCGCTCGAGTCCGCTGAGATATGTTATTTCTCCTTGTCGTTGGGTTTTCTGGTTAAGTGTTGTTCCCGAGTTCCCTTGGTTTTCATGTTTGTTTGTGTTTGCTTTGTTCTTGATTGTTTGTGTTTGTTGTTCTTCTTTTCTTTTTTCTTTTCTTTTCTTTTCGGTTCGGTTTGTGTTTTTAGGCGGTTGGTTCGGCATGCGATAAGTCTTGTACTTCAAAGCAATATAAGTTTCTTCTTCTTCTTCTGTATTCTACTGACTCGCCTCTGGCTCGCCATAGGATTTCTTCCCCCCGAGATGGAGTTATACTGATTCTCGAATTGCTTCGGTTCCTGAACTTCCGTCGCTCGACACCCCCCTGCTTTGTTCGTTTGGTGCCCTCACGGGATGCATCCACCGTTCACCCCTCGCCAAACCAGCGGCTACTCTCGAAAGCCGCCCTCGCCCCTCCTTATTTTCACTCATCGCACGAGTGATCCCACACATCGGGTACGGACACTGTCAGTAATCTCTAGTTAGTGAGAACCTACTGCCAAAGCGCTCGACAGCCCGCGAAGTTAGCGGCCTTTCGGTCGCGAAAGTATCGTCAAATTTTTTACCCAAGGTCCCGTGACCTTACCCCTCCCTATCGGCCTTAACCAGGCAACCCATTTTTTAACCGAGACGGCCCGCTCCCCTCATCCATTTCTACCGGTCCCCGAGACCACCCCTCAACACAATACGGTCGGCACTTTCGATTGCGACCCCCCATACATACTGAGTCTCCGACTCACCCCACTTGCACGTCCCCTCCAGAGGACACCACTTTAAATACGACTCGAGCACAGTCTTTAGCCGTTGCTCCTGGGACTGACGACCCAACCCATTTTTACCTGACCTACCGGTCACCACTCCTCAATTCCTCGCTGCCTGACAACCAGATGCCCGAGGACCCACATTCGATCCATCCCCCCTCGCTTTCACACCTGACGCTGTTGCGGTTGGCCTCTCCTGCCTTCGTGCGCGTGGTTTCCCAGTCCTGTTAAGGTTCGTCCACAGATATGACATCGGGAACGTTGGTAATGATACCGTTTCGGTTGAACACCATGTTTAGGATTGTGCTCGCTAATGTAGTTGACGGAGAAGTTTGGGGTTCTTTCTTACTACGGGGAGGTTTCTTTGTTGTCGCTTAGATTCTGCTTACCTGTACCACGTGTTATTTGCGCCCTCTTCGTGCGCTGTTCTTTTTATTTATGTACGTAGTTCTCGTAGCTTCGGTAGTTAGTTTTTGTACTTCGGTTTTGTTTTTGGGTTAGTCGGTGGAGGTTGTAGTCGGGTAGTTAGGTGTGCGATAAGCTGCGGCTTCGATGCAATATAAGATTCTCTCTCTCTCTCTCTCTGTATTCTACTCCACGAATATTATTCTTGGTCTACGCTACATTATCGGGTTTAGTTTGGTTGTCAGATCAAACAAAGCCACCTCATAGTCCATAGTCTTGAATATCCTCTACTACGTCTTCGTCTCGGTTGTATTCCTTGGCACTACAGTCCCTCGTCCATAGACCTACGTTGCACAATCCACTTTCAACGCACGTAACCCTAACTACCCATAAACAGGTTTCAACCACCATCAAATTCCCATTGATGTACTAACAAAATCCGCTTTCAACGTTCGTAACCCTTACTACCCACATCCAGGTTCCAACCACCACCAAATACACATTGATGTATCAACAAAATCGGCTTTCAACGTTCGTAACCCTAACTACCCACAACCAGGTTTCAACCACCACGAAATACAGATTGATATGTTAAATTTTGACCAAAAATTGTATTTTGTAACAATAGAATAACATAACGACCTGAAGAAAAACAGATGGAAAAGTATCAATTCATTATTCCGTCCTACACTGTAATTTCTATACGTAACCATGAACCTCGCAATTACCAGTCTTCCGGCTGTATCGCATTATTGTTCTAGATACTACTGAGTAATATTGAATCGCTGCATAGATATGCATGCCTACTAGGACAGCATATAAAGCAAACATTAATGGTGAAATTGATTACTACTGTTTGTGATAGCTTGATAGGTATAAACATCAATCGGAACAGAAAGTACATCATAGTTTGCAATTGAGATTTGTTGGTATGGTTTGCTATGATTTGATTTGTATGCACACTTGTTGTGACAGAATGTAAATCAGGAATAGTAAATTATATTTGTGAGGATTTTTGGCAATTGCTTGATACGTATGCATACACATCGGAATGGCAAGTGAAGTGTATACCTACAATAAAACCTTTCTGTATAATGTTTCAACACTAAATGGGAGTCGATACCTGTCAGAAAAACATTCAAATCAGTAATTGGCAGTTGAATTAGTTGATATCATTGATAATTAGTTCATACTTATGCGTTCTTATCAGAACAGCAAATTTAACAGTTATTGACAAACAAAACCTTCTGTATTATTTCCGATCCTTTGATAGGTGTGTATATCTATCAGGATAGCAAGTGTATGAGAAATTCAAATTCTCATTTGTTACAATCGTCTATGAAGGTTTGAAAGCTATGAATATTTATTTCATGGATCCATTAAGGAATGTACTGGGTTACGAGGAGTTGGATTAGTCAGAAAGGTTCCATTGGGTTCTACGGGTTCAGTTGATCGTTAATGTATGAGTTATTTGGGATTTGTCATTGCTGGGATTTCCTTGAGTATATTAGGGGGGTTCGTTCTTATTTCTTGTCCTTTTCTCTTTCTTTCTTTCCTTACGCAACGTCTTCTGTATCTACGCTGTCTATTACTCTACACTGTCTATTACTCTACAATATTATCCTCCTCTTCTTTACTCGAGCAGACTACCACTTCACCGCCCCTTGTCCAGTAGACCCTTACCGATGCTGGAGTCCCTTAGGACCCCTATTGCGAGCTTTCACACCGATCCCTACTACATCCTTCGTACTCTGCGGAATATTCGCTGCTCACCCCCTTGAGATTAAGTTGCATCGTCATCCGCACCGTATGACATGTCCACCCCCGATGCACCTACATGGGCCCTAACGAACGATGTAGAAGAATTCAAGCGGCAGTATGAGGTCGACACTGCCGAATTATTTAACAACCTCGCCGTCCTTGTCCAGCGCATTCGCCTCCAAAGGGACACCCTTAGTACACAATTCGCCGCCGCCAATGAAACCATTAACAACCTCGAGGAGCAGGTAACCCGGCTCAACTTCGACCTCAATATCGCCTGTGCCGCTCCCACCCCTACTGTCGCTGTTCCCGTTGCCGCTGCTCCCCCACCTGCTACTGTCCCCGCCTTCAGGTTTGAAAAGTTCCCAGACCCCGAAAAATTCGATGGCACCTGTACCAAGCTTCCTGGATTCACCACCCAACTTCGAATGAAACTTGAAGTCAACCACGATCGGTTCCGAAACGAGGCAGCAAAAGTTCTCTATGCCGTCAGTCGCTTGGAAGGAAGGGCCCTTAACCAGGTCGTTCCACCCGTTAACGCTAACCCTGTTGCCCATTTCTCCTCCGTCACTGCCTTTGTTGCCCACCTGGAAGCCTCGTTTAGAAACCCAGATCCCCGGGGTACCGGCCATCGCCAGCTCGTCGCCCTGAAGCAAAGCAAAGGGCACTTTGCTACCTATTACTCCCAGTTCCTCCGTATTGTGGCCTACCTAGACTACAACGAAGGAGCCAAGATCGATGCTCTAGCTGAAGGACTGTCGGAAGACCTGAAGGATGCAATGACATACTGGACAGACAGGTATAAGAGCGTAGAGGCATATGCCACCATGTTGATGACAATTGACAACCAGGTTCGGGGCCATAAAGCTGAACAATGGGCCATTCACAATACGATGGGACAATTTACCGCCCCCACCGCTATCGCACACCCATCTTATACCATCGGAGGCCTCACCCCAATGGACCTCTCCGCCCTCCAAACCCGTCCCACTCAACACCCTGCCACCGAACAACGATACACCTTTGTCAATGGACAACGCAAAACCTCTGCCGCCGAAAAACAATGGCGGAGGGACAACAATCTCTGTATGTACTGCGCTAAACCCGGCCATACCTTCGCCAACTGCCCCTCTGCCAATCACTCGCGTGGTAATCAACTGGTTATGAGGGGCCCCATCTTTGCACCTGGCAATACTGCCGCCGACCCCGCTGTCCCACCAGTACCTAGTCCTGCTTCCTCCGAGTCGGGTTTTCAGTAGTCCCGGGGTTGATCAATGGCACCTGCCCGGGACCTTCTAATGTTTCTCCTTTGTCTGCATTCTCTATCTGTGGCTTTTCGGTATCGTCTGTGGAGGATAAATTGGATGGGAATCATTTTGTTGCTTCTAGTAAAATCGTAAACAATAAAATACCTATTCAAACCCACGCATTGATCGATACCGGTTGCTCCGGGTTTGCATTCATTGATGAAACATTCACACGACATAACAACCTTCCATTTCTCCCCCTTAAATCACCCCGTACTCTTGAAGTCATCGACGGACGGCCCATATCCTCCGGACAGATTACCCACCTGTGCTACCTCCCGCTGTCAATTGACTCCCACCACGAAACTATCCCCTTCTTTGTCACCAAACTCGGCTCGTATCCACTCGTACTCAGAATCCCTTGACTTCAATTACACGATGCCACATTACGGTTTAAGAACAATAGCATAATGTTCGACTCCGAATACTGCAAACGCAAGTGCAACTCCTCCACAATACCTGTTCCTATTAGAGGGATTGCACCACCACCCTGTTTCCACCTCGTCAGTTCAGCTGCCCTCTGCTGCTTTCTTCGAAGGGACAAGCTCCAGACCTTCAGCACAACTATCGAGGAAATCGAACAAGCTATGGGCGAGGCCCTTAAGGGAGATTGGAGGAACCGAGTCCCAACCCAGTACAAGAAGTTCCACGAGATAATGGACGAGAAGTTGGCTAACGAAATGCCGACTTGCCGCCCCTATTACCATAAGATACGGCTTAAGGAGGGAAAAGAGCCCCCATTTGGCCCACTTTATAGAATGTCCCATGAAGAACTCATCGTACTTAAGCAATACATCCAGGACAACCTTAAAAAGAGCTTTATTCAGGCCAGCTCTTCCCCCGCCGGTGCTCCCGTCCTACTTGTTAAAAAGGCTGATGGAACACTCCGTCTCTGTGTCGATTACCCTGGCCTCAATGAACTCACCGTCAAAAACCGCTACCCGCTACCGCTTATCCGGGAAACTCTCGACCGCCTCTCCAAAGCCAATTAGTACACCAAACTGGACCTTCGCCAAGAATATAACCAAATCTGAATGGCGGAGGGTGAAGAATGGAAAACAGCTTTCTGTACGTGTTACGGGCATTTTGGATATACGGTGATGCCCTTCGGCCTTACCAATGCACCGGCCACCTTCCAACACTTCATTAACGATTGCGTCCGTGATTACCTTGATATGTTTTGTACAGCCTACCTTGACAATATTCTCATGTACAGCAACACCTTCGAAGAACATCAAGTACATGTCGAAAAGGTTGTGGAAGCCCTACAAAGAAATGGAGTACTGCTGAAACCAGAGAAATGTGAATTTCATACACAAAGCACCACCTACCTCGGCCTCATTATCGAACCCAGTGGTATTAGAATGGATCCAAGGAAAGTGGGGACAGTAAAGAATTGGACCGTCCCCAAAACAGTTAAGGATGTGCAAGCGTTTCTAGGTTTCGCTAACTTTTATCGTCGATTCATACGTGGATTTTCAGAACTGGTTTCCCCCCTTACCAGACTGACACGTAAGGATATATCATTCGAATGGGCACCTGAAGCCCAAACTGCCTTCAACGCCCTGAAAGAAGCCTTCACAACAGCTCCCATCCTTTCCCATTTCGACCCGGAGAAAGAAATTACTGTGGAAACCGATGCATCAGACTACGTCTCTGCCGGTGTACTCTTCCAGTACGATGATAATGCTACTCTTCGACCAGTTGCATACTTCTCAAAAAAGCACTCCCCAGCCGAATGCAACTACGAGATTAACGACAAAGAATTACTAGCGATTATTTGATCCTTCGAGCAATGGCGACCGGAACTTGAAGGGGCCAAACACCCAATCGCCGTCATATCCGACCATAACAATCTTGAATACTTTATGGGTACTAAACAACTCAACCGGAGACAAGCACGGTGGGTGGAATATCTATCACGGTTCAATTTTGTCATTAAGTACCGAGCAGAGAAATAAGGGGGGAAACCGGACGCGTTAACAAGAAGATCAGGAGATCTCCCTCGAGAGGGGGATGAAAGGCAATTACACCAGAGTCAAGTTGTATTGAAGAAAGAGAATCTTGAATCAAAGCTAAGTTTGTTGGCGGGTTCTTTCTCAAATGAGCCCGCTGAAAAGAACGCCTCACTGAATAGACTACTCGATGAAGGATATAGCGCTGAACCGTTTCCACAAAAGATACTGGATATGCGGAACAAAGGTAAACGATAATCAAAGAATATATCACTCGCCGAATGCACCGAGGTTGAAGGCCGGTTGCTTTACCGAGATAGTATATATGTACCCGGCTACGACCCTCTCAAGCTCTGGATCCTCCAACTTTACCACGACGCTGCCTCCGCTGGACACCCAGGACGCGAAAAAAAATTCGAACTCATCAGTCGAGACTACTACTGGCCCCTTATGCGGAATTATATTGCCCGCTAAGTTCGGAACTGCCCCACCTGTCAACGAAGCACACCCAACACCCATGGAAAACTCGGCGTACTTCGATCTTTACCGATTCCCGAACAACCATGACGGGAGGTATCAATGGACTTCGTTACTGGACTACCGGAGAGCGATGGGTACGATGCGATTATGGTAGTCGTTGACCAGTTAACAAAGATGCGACATTTCCTGCCCTGTAATACCACCGTCAACTCCGAAGACGTCGCCCAAATATATCTGCGAAATATATGGAAGCTCCATAGGCTACCCACACATGTCACCTCCGACCACGGTACGCAATTTACAGCCAAATTCTGGAGGGCTCTTTGTAAATACCTCGACATCGAAGCAAGAATGTCCACCGCCTTTCACCTGGAGACCGACGGCCAAGCTGAAAGGTTGAACGCCGTAATGGAACAATATCTACATGGATATGTCACTCATCAACAGGACGATTGGGTAAAATAGTTCTCTATGGCAGAATTCTCCGTCAACAATCAGGTCTCCGTATCCACCAAAGCTATACCACTCTTCGCGAACTCTGGTTTCCACTCCCGGTTCACAGTGACGATCAAATCGCTTGATAGGATCCCACCAAGCCTCAATGCTAAAGACTTCGCCTCGAAGATGAAAGAACTCCATGAATACCTACGTTCCAATATCCACACGGCGCAAGATCAACAAGAACAGGCCGTTAATACCAAACGAACGCCGGCTCCGCGGTACGATATCGGCGATATGGTGTTTGTTTCAGCAAAAAACATCCGAACTACCCGTAACTCCCGGAAGTTGCACTGGAAGAAACTAGGACCGTTCCCCGTTAAAGAAATCATCTCGCTATATATGTACCGAGTCGACCTGCCTAGGAGTATGAAAATGCACCCCGTCTTCCATGTATCGTTGCTAGACCCCGCCGCAAATGATCCTGTCCGGAGCAGATCCAACCACCACCCCCACCTATTATCGTTGAGCAGGAAGAGGAGTACGCAGTTGAGGGGTCTTGGACTCGCGGGAAACAAGAAAGAACGGCCTGCAATATTTTGTTAAATGGACAGGCTATACCGACCCTACATGGGAACCCGCCGCATACCACGATAATACCGGCGCCGTTGATATCTTTCATACACGTTACCCTGGCAAACCTGTACCGTTGGAAGGAAAGATTAAGGTTAAAGCTCGCAGGAGCTCGCGCTTGAAGGGAGGGGCTACTTTCATGGATCGATTAGGGAATGTACTAGGTTACGAGGAGTTGGATTAGTCAGAAAGGTTCTATTGGGTTCTACGGGTTCAGTTGATCGTTAATGTATGAGTTATTTGGGATTTGTCATCGCTGGGATGTCTTTGAGTATATTAGAGGGGTTCGTTCTTATTTCTTGTCCTTTTCTCTTTCTTTCTTTCCTTAAGCAACGTCTTCTGTATCTACGCTGTCTATTACTCTACACTGTCTATTACTTTACAATATTATCCTCATCTTCTTTACTCGAGAATACCACCGATTCGCCGCCCATTGTCCTGTTGACCCTTACCGACGCTGGAGTCCCTTAGGACCCCTATTGCGAGTTCCCACACCGATCCCTACTACACCCTTCGTACCCTGCGGAATATTCGCTACTCGCCCCCTTGAGAATTTATTGGTACAGTAAAATACTGGAATTGATACTCAACGTATTTGATGGCTTGATTGGTCTACCATGTTCTGGATCAATATTGAATAGATTGAATACTTCACTACGGTTTACAAAATATCTTCTCGCAAAACACCAGGTTGCGGCTTACCAATCCATTCGGAAATACATACAATCCATTATCATATTCTGAACTTGAGAGTGAACAATATTCATCACTTATGACTAAAACTCATTATCTTAATTGATAAAAGTCTTTATAATGTGTATCCTGATATTTTGTATTCTTGTAAACGGCTTGGAATTTGACGATGTCCGCTAAATAACATGTCTTCCGCCTCACCTACCAATTAATAGTATGCGCCCGAATTCCCCCAAACCTTTAGAATTAACATTATGGGGGGTTTTGATTGAGAATGTCATATTTGAAGTGACTGGTGGTGTTTGGGGAAATGCCAATGCTAAGCGATAGTTCTGTAGCTTTTAAACTTATAATATTGTAAACCGGATTCCGCTCGCTGAGTGACTGATGATGCCACTGAGACGAGGCAGAACCCTCCCTATTTATACATAATGGAACCTATACCAAGGCCCGCTTTCTAATACTAATGAGATAACGATGATAGAATAAGACAATCAACCCGAAGATAACCCCCAATAGAAAAGCGCCCCCGCATAGTTCCGTTCCTCCATTCTAATTCCGACACGTAACCATGAACCCCGCAATTGCCAGTAACCGAGCTGTATCATGCTATTGTCCTAGAGCTACTTCCCTAAGTAGAATGGCCTGCAGCCATAAGCCCCGCTTCTATTCCGTTCCGGGTGAGACACCCAATAGTAAGCGTGCCCTCACAAAAGCCTAATACTAGTGTGGTTGCACCCGGTGCCCCCACACCCCTCGGTACCTTCCTATACTGGTTCCCTCGTTACCCGACCGTACTCACATCACAACCCATCACTCGTATTATCCTTATTCCTTGACTTAGAAGCAGTGTTCGTGTTTCCTGTAACACTACTCCCCCTTCCTAGACGTCGCCCTCGACCGTTAAAACCTCTCTATGATAAAAACCCTGTGGGAAAAGTCATAGAGTAGGAAAGGTATCGAGCTAGTCTTCCCTAGTCCGTTGTCGTTTCGGAGGCCGACTCGAGTCGATGACTGACCCTTGACTCCGCGTATGGGGCCGAGTGTTGGTGACCGGTTTGAAGTTCTCATCTAAGAGTGCCTCTTGGGGTTCGGGTGTTGCGAGTCGTTTTCGTGTGTTCTGTTGCCTGCCAGGGTTGGGATCCTCTCGATAAGGTCTCAGCAACATCTCGTGGAATACGTCATGAACCTTCCATTCTACCGGAAGATTCAATCTATAAGCCCTATTTCCTACAGTCGCGGTAACCTCGAAGGGGCCTGTAAACTTATCCGACCATTTATTGTAACCGCCGAGGTTCCGAGTATCCAGCAAAACCTTTTGACCGATTGTGAACCGCTGAACTGCTGGTCCTGGCCTTGATGCCATCCTGTCAAAGGTCTTCTGCAGCGTGTCTCTCGCTGACTCATGAGCTAGGAGAAGGTCTTCCAGGTAGGTACTTCCTTTGGCGTCCAGCTGTCCGATTTTCGCATCCGTTGGCCAATCTGTTCGTGGGTGGAAACCATAGTTACAGTAGAACGGCGATTGTCCTGTCGACGAGTGTTTCGCATTATTATATGCATACTCGCAAATCGGTAGTAGGTCCTTCCATTTCTTTCCTGTTCCGGCGGTATAGGCCCGGATGTAGGACTCGAGGTGCTGGTTGGTCTTTTCTGTTTGTCCATCCGTCTGTGGGTGGAACGAGGTCGAGAGTCTTCTACGAATCCCTAGTCGTTCTGTGACCGCAGCCCAGAATGCCGATACGAACTGTGTTCCCCTGTCAGAGACAATGCTCCTAGGAAGTCCGTGAAAGCGCCAAATGTCCTTGACAAAGGCGTTAGCGGTCTGTTCCGCGTTGATTCCCGTCATTGGAATGAAGTGAGCCATTTTCGTAAAACGGTCCACGACCACCAATACGTTACGGAATCCTGATTTCTCCTTTGGCATTTCTACTACGAAATCCATTGAGATATCAGTCCAAGGTGTGGTGGCTAACTCTAGGGGTTGAGGGAGTGACAAGTGTCTCCGACGTTGCTTGGCTCTCTGGCACACGTCGCAAGTCTTGACGAAGTTGGCTACATCTGTGGACATTCCTGGCCACCAGTAGTTCCTATCGATCAACTCAAGGGTTTTATCCCTTCCTAGATGCCCCGCTACGGGTCTGTCATGATGATCCTCAATGACTTGTCTGACCGCGTATCCTGGCACTACCCAACGACCATCGTGGGTGGCCTCATTCGATCCCGGGGTCCATTCAGTGGCAAGCTCCGTTATTACGGCATCAGCTTCCTCTGTCCCGAAGACTTCAAGGTTTGCATCAGGGAGAGGTTCATCCCGGAACACTCTCCGAACCCATTGTCTATCCTGTTCATACCAGTCTTGTAGTGGCTGAGGCAGCTCAGTACCTGGTATGTCGTACCACTGATCCAACGGAGTCCATTCTTCTTTGGAGTTGCCAATGATTTCAGGGCCAGTTTCTACATTGGTCTGTGATTTCCTGACAAATTGTTCTGCGCTGAGCAACTGTTTTACGGGTTGTTCGCGCATTACTCCCCCTTCCATAGCGAACTTTGGGCGCCTTGTAAGTGCATCTGGCTTGCCATTCTTTTCGCCTGGTCGGTAATGAATCCTGAAGCGAAAAGGTGCTATCTTTTCGGCCCACCTGGCTTGTCTTCTCGACAACTTCTTGGTCGTTGTGAAGTACTGTAGGTTCTGATGATCCGAATGTATCTGGATAGGAATGTCTGTTCCTTCCAGCCAATGTCTCCAAGTCAAGAGAGCAGAAACTATAGCGAGCATCTCCTTGTCATAGATCTCGTAGTTTACCTCTGCTTCGTTGAACTTGCGAGAGTGGTAAGCTACCGGGTGTAGAATACCGTCCTCGAACACCTGAGAGAGTACTGCGGCCTCAGCCCAGTCACTTGCGTCAGTTTCTATGATCGCTTCGCGGTGTTCGTCATAGTGTCGTAGTATTGGGGCAGACGTAAATCTCTCCTTGAGTTCGTCGAAAGCATTTTGCTGTTCACTGCTCCATCGCCATACGGAATCCTTCTTCAAGAGGTCGGTCATTGGTCGACAAACTTCGGAGTACCTGTGGATGAACCGTCGTAGGAAGTTGGCGAATCCGAGGAATCATTGAAGTTCCTTGACCTTGGTGGGTGGTAACTATTCCATGATTGCCTTCACCTTCTTAGGCGAGACCTGGTTCCCTTTCCCTGATAGTACAAATCCCAGGAATTCTACCTCCTGTTTGTACCATTCCGTTTTCTCGAGGTTCCCGTATAGATGGTTTTGTTGCAGTCGCCCCAATATCTTCCTCACAAGAGCCGTATGCTCTTCCTTAGTCTTTGAATATATTAGAATATCATCCAAGTAGACTACTACGCCTTGATCTAGAAGATCCTTGAATATGGTATTGACCATGACCTGGAACGACGCCGGTGCATTGGTTAAGCCAAAAGGCATCACCCTATATTCGAAGTGGCCGTACTTCGTTCTAAAAGCTGTTTTCCATTCCTCGCCAGCGGCAATCCTAATCAAGTTATAGCCATTTTTTAGGTCTATCTTGGTAAAGAACTCTGCTCCTTTCGTTGAATCGGCCAGCTCTGTCATGAGTGGAAGAGGGTAGCGATTCTTGACCGTGATAGCATTTAAGCCACGAAAGTCTACGCATAGCCTCAGTTTTCCATTGGCTTTCTTCACGAACAGGATCGGTGCTGCTGCCGGGCTGGTGGAGGGGACTATTTTGCCCGAGGCTAGCATTTCGTCCAATTATTCCCGGAGTGCCTTTTGTTCCACTGGGGAGAGCGCATAGATCGGTCCCCATGGAGGCTGCTTTCCTTCCATAAGGGGAATGGTGTGATCCCATTCAGAGTGATCAGGTAGTCGATCGGCTCCCTCCTTAGAGAAGACGTCGACGAAGTCCTGGTACTCCATTGGTATAGCACTAGCGAGAGCCTCGCCTACCAATGCCCTTGCCCAGAAGGGGTGTTGCTCGATCATCATCTGTGTCTCGGGTGACGACCTCAACAGCCTGATGACCAGCTCTTCTGGGTCTTCTTCGTATATATCATACATGGTCCTGAAGCATCCCTTCACTTGGCAATTGATGTTGTCGAAGGTGACCTTGTTCTGACCCCAATGTATGGTAGGTTGATGCTCCTTGAGCCATCGATGTGGTATGACGAGGTCTTCTCCTGCGAATGAGCCAACCTCACAGACGATGTCTCTGTCTAGATGGTTGCCGACGTGGAGGGTAAGGGCTTGGGTGATGTGAGTACCGGAGTTAGGCATAGGGGTACCGTCAGCCTGTCTGATGATGAGAGGCTTGGGTCGAGGTTGAGTTGGGGTCTTGAGACGGTGGACACAGTTCCAGGACATAACCCAGTCCTCTGTTCCACTGTCTAGAAGTGCGTTGACTATTTCTGCATGTTGGGTACTAGTTGCGGGGTGGTTCCAAGAGATCTCAATCTCAAGGCGGGTTTCTTGGTTGTGTGAAGACATGTTTGTATGCTTTGAAAGTGTAAGGTAAGGTGGATTGTTCTTTTGGTATAAGTGGGTTGATGTTGATAGTTCTTGTTCTGAGCGCGGGGCGAGGGAGTTTATATAGAAAATTCGGGCGTTGATAAAGATCAACACTTATGCACCAGGCGTTTTCGAAATGTGACCCCGCTTCTCAAAATGTGTGTAAAGAGAATTTAAATTGCGCAAAAATAACAAAACCGATAGAACATAACATAACCCGATCCCTTAGAAAAGTCTTCCTTCCAAAACAGAATAGAAAAGCCGTAACACAACATAGAATGAAACATCGCAAAAGTAGAAATACCCAATCAATTTAGTCCTCCAAATTCGTAATCCTTGCCCTGAATGCCTCATTTTGTGGCCCCAATTTCCGTTTCTTATCACCCTCCCTTCCGTGGTCCTTTCTCCCGGAAGGATACTCTTTTCTCTTCAGGTTCGTTAACCTGACCTTACTCGTCGCCACGCAATCCTTTACGAACTGGTTATCTCTACCACAACGGAAACACTTTCCTTCCTTCTGCCATTTCTCCTTCTCTTCTTTGGTGACACCTAAGTCATCCGAGTTTTTGGAGTTGTTGGCTGATGCGGGAAAAGTTTTCCGAGGATTTGCGTTGTTGCGCGATTTCCGCCGTTCCGTCTTTTCCTCGCGAGGTTTCACAGTATCTTTACCTCGCAGGATTTCCTTCCGAGCCTTCACCTCGTGGTCCTTACGTCCGACTTTTCGTACCCAGGCTAACCAGTCCACGAAATCCCCAGGTTCCTCAATCGCATTGGAGAGCCGTTGTTCCAGCGAGGAGTTTATTCCTGTTAGGATCATGGATCTCATGACAACTGGTCCAACTCGTGCGTCCCATTCTAGGTTCTGCATCTCGTTGATGTAGTCGTCGATTGGGCCAGTTTGCCGGAGTCTGTCCATCTTCTGCTTGGCCTGTTCCTGACTTGTGCGGTTGCCATATTGAGTGCGGAGCTCTTGCTTGAACCGTTCCCAGGTTCCGATACTTCTGTCCACAGCCAACCTCTCCGTAAAATTCCGCCAAAAGTTTGCCGCACTACCGGTAAACTCGAGGGATGCCCACATAATCTTGGTGCCGTCATCCCATTGGACCTTCTTCTGGAGACTGATTAGAATCTCCATCTGGTCGATCCAGAGTCTTACGTCTTGATCGGCTCTTCCGGAGAAGGGAATGTTGGCCTTTTTGGGTGTATCACCTACGGTGGCGCGAGGGGGGTGCAAGAGATCTTTCCCTTGTTGGTACCTCCTTTCCTGTCTTCGTTTTTTACGTTCCCGCCGCTTGCGGCGTTCGTCTTCCGAATCTGAGGAGTCCGATGGGGATGATCCGGGTGCTTCCGGGGCGTTACCTCCCTTATTGCCATTCCCGTTACCTCCACCTTGTGCTCCTTGACCTCCTCCCTGATTGCCATCCCCGTTACCTCCACCTTGTGCTCCTTGACCTCCTTGCTTCCCTCGTTGGCCTTGGTCTTCGAGGTCATCACTGGATTCGGAGCCGGCTGGAGGGGCGACTGGTTGTTGGGGATGTGGTTTGGGAGGTGGGCCTGATCCGCCGCCACCTGTCTCTGGGGCCAGTGGTTTTTCCGCAGCCGCTTTACGGGCTGTTTCCTTCATCTGCTCTATCATTTCTTCTAGAGCCGTCCTTGTTCCAGACAACCCATCTACCAAGGAGACCTGCTGCTGCATGGTCCTCTCCAACTGTGCCAGTGTAGCCGCTATGCCGTCTGGGACTTGGGCTGGGCCTTCTTTCGGCAGCCTTTGAATCCAGTCGGCCAGCGTAGTTATGTGCTGGGCCTGCTCTTCCTGCCGTTGTTGGTGGGCCCTAGTGGTATTGGCGATCTGTTCCAAGACTTGGCCGAGGTTCGTAGTGGTTGCGGCTGTCTCTGCCCGCACTTGCGCGAGGATGTACCCATCTCGGCGCTCCCGTTCTTCTTGGTCCTGGTTGAACTTCATCTGCAATTCGCGGATGAGTTTGGTCTGCTCTTCGTGCTGCTGGGTAAGCTGCGCCGCGTGCTGCCGAGTAATTTCCCTGATTGCGGGCAGGTCTTGGACGCTCACAGTGAGGTCTCCAAGTCCGCGACTCAGCTGCTGAACCACTGGGGCTCCTCTCCGTTCGATTTCCTGCCCGATGATTTCTCCAAAGGGGTGCTCGATGCGGCGTTCTTCCACGTCCATATTCGTGTCTTCATCGTCGTCCATTACCCTGAGGACCGAGGGCCTCGGAATAGAAGATCGTTCTCTGATTGGCGTTTTGTACGGGGAATAGTCTCGATAGTCCCCTTGCCTGCGGGAGCGGGGTTGGCCATAGGATGCGGCCGGCTGAGTCGATCTGAAGAGGTCGCTGATCGGCATGTCCAGATCCCTCCTGTGGCGCTGTCTCGCCTGGGTCTCGACTATACCTCGATCTCTCACGGTGATCGAGCTCTCCATGTTGTAGTCTTCCTCCTGTTGTTGCTGATGACCCCTTGACATCGCTAAGTTGCTCGATTCTGAGTTGTGGCTGTCTCCTGCACCAGGGTTGAGCGACGAACCAAGGGACGGAGTGAGCTAATCCGTAGGATTGCTGACTGAGGGTAACTTTGATGGGGAAGAGTTCGGGATAGTTGAGGATTTCCGGGTCGTGTTCTTCGAACGTGCAAGTAGTACCTGTTTCGGTAAAAAACCCGGCGTACTCAAGGTATCCGCAGTAGAGGTGTTCGGCACTGCCTCTGCGAACGACAAAAGAGGTAGTGCAAGTAAAGTTGTTGATAGCTGCTGTTGCTACTCGGGGATGCATACGGTATCAAAGAGTCCTTCTAATAGACTACTTTCTTATTCTTTTACTTGAGCGCACGGTGACTATCCGCCACAAACAAAATACTCTCAAGTATTGGTATAAGCAAGTAGTGGTCTTATCGGGACGTTGATAATATGCGATCGATGAAAATGATAGCGTAGTGGATAAGGTACAATATAGTGTTTGGGGAAATGCCAATGCTAAGCGATAGTTCTGTAGCTTTTAAACTTATAATATTGTAAACCGGATTCCGCTCGCTGAGTGACTGATGATGCCACTGAGACGAGGCAGAACCCTCCCTATTTATACATAATGGAACCTATACCAAGGCCCGTTTTCTAATACTAATGAGATAACGATGATAGAATAAGACAATCAACCCGAAGATAACCCCCAATAGAAAAGCGCCCCCGCATAGTTCCGTTCCTCCATTCTAATTCCAACACGTAACCATGAACCCCGCAATTGCCAGTAACCGAGCTGTATCATGCTATTGTCCTAGAGCTACTTCCCTAAGTAGAATGGCCTGCAGCCATAAGCCCCGCTTCTATTCCGTTCCGGGTGAGACACCCAATAGTAAGCGTGCCCTCACAACAGCCTAATACTAGTGTGGTTGCACCCGGTGCCCCCACACCCCTCGGTACCTTCCTATACTGGTTCCCTCGTTACCCGACCGTACTCACATCACAACCCATCACTCGTATTATCCTTATTCCTTGACTTAGAAGCAGTGTTCGTGTTTCCTGTAACAGGTGGTCAGTATAGCCCTTAATAGCATTGGCATTCTCAGTGTAACTCAATTCAGATCATAAAACATGTTCCGATTTTCATGGATCGATTGGTTAATAAACTAGGTTACAAAGGGTCGAATTGGTCAGAAAGATTCTATGGATTTCTAGAGGGTTCCGTCGATTGTAAGAGTATGAGTCACTTTGGATTTGTAATTGCTAGGGTTTTCTTGGGTATATTAAGGGGCTTTACCCTCAATTCTATTCTCTTTCCCTCTCTTTTCTTCTCTTTCTTTTGGTACGCAATGGCTTAGATAATCTACGCTGGCTATTACTATTGAAGTACTATTTTCTGTTCCTTTCTAAGGAGACCATCTCACTTCTCCGACCTTATTACCGCTAGTTCTAAACTACTGCACATTTCTCTGTCCCCCTCACTGATTAATCTACCAGCCCCTATGACCATCTCCCGTACCCTACGGAATACTCGCTACCCAACTCCCTAGGATTACGTTGAATCGTAATCCGCACCATACGCCATGTCCACCCCCAACCGACCTACATGAGTCTCATC